CTAAATCCCCCCTCTTTCACTCCATGGTCAAAAGCCCCTCTCCAGCTCTCTTGCAGTCCCTTCAGGTACTGGAAGGCTGCTGAGAAAGCAAAAAACCTAAAACAATCCCCCCTTTCTGCTCCACCACCATAACAACCCCAAACTTACCAAGACTTTTGAGGAAACCACAGAGTCTCTTGGCTGCTTCATTCACAGAGAGGTTGAATTTAGCAGCAAAATAAGGCAATGACTGAGGGCATATAGACACTGCCAACACTTTGTGTTTTGAGGTATCACATTTCTGGTAAAAAAGGAAAAAAAAGATATGTCATTACAACAGGGCAAGGCTCCTTGCTTTCCCTGCCTTTTCCACTCCTGGAATTATTCCTTAGTGTCTTATGCTCCAGTGGGCCATATCATCACAAGCTCTGTGAAACAACCATCAAGCTGGGGCAGGACAGGGTGTTCCTCTGAGTCTGTTAGTGTTTAATCATCTGTAGATGTTGCTTTTATATAACCCATCTGTCCTCTAGGAATTCTTTGGTTGGTCTTCACATGGCATAAGGAAAATTAAGAGGCATTCAGCACCCATGATGTTCTAGCAATATGAAAGATTCTAGCAAACATGCAAAAAGTTTTATGTTTAAATATTAAGTAAACTGATGTTTACAGAAGCAGGTGTATTTGAAGCTGTAAATTCAACCCAGCAAATTACAGATCTGATTCTTTGTTAAGGCTCCTGTGCCTTTATCACTTAAGTTGCTGAGGGAAAGTGGCAAGATGGGACCCTCAACAAACCAGGGTTTGTAGGCACTGAGGAACCCTTTGAAAATACCCTGGGCTGTGTGGAACTGTACAGCTCTGATGGTTGTGGCATTTAGGTGAAGACAAATCTTGTGTTTTAGCAGGGTCATTTTCCACACCAGTGGAACCTTGGACTGTGCCACAGACAAGTTTCACCCTGCAAAGGTCAGAGACCACAGTCTGTACTTACATGCTGTGTACTGACCTCTCAAGGACAGCTCACAACTCAGAGCTCACAGCTGAGCCTCTGGCTCACTGTCCTCCTTTGGACCCCTGAAGTTTGATAAAGGTAAATGTCTGCCTCCCTACTGCACAATTCAGGGTCTCTTAATGTGACCCAAAAGATTATTTTTCCCCCCTTTTCTTCATTTTTCTTATGTATGACAGCATCATACTGTATGGAGAATTAAACTCCTAAGAAAATTTAAGTACTATGTAGTGAATCCTCTTAATTATGAAACTTATATACAGATCAAGAAAAAGCTTCGGTTCTGGTAGCTTTTGCACACAGAAGTCTGGGGCAGAACTAAAATAATTAATTCAGTATCAAGTTCTAAAGATCTGAGCACTGTACTTAGCAACTAGCTTCCAGAAAAAAAAAAAAAAGTCAGCAGAAAATAAGACAGCAATAGAACACTTCTAAGTTTTGCTAAGAATTTGGACAAAAAATTCTGTTCTAAATATAGTCAGGTCAAATATATATTACAGACAATTCTACTTTCAATAACATATCTTCCTAACTTTATGTTATGTGGATACAGTGGCACCAAACCCACCCAGAACAGTCCTAGTAATAAAGGTAGGAATATCTATAAGTATTGAACTACAAGACTAATTTGTTAGTACAGTAATGAGGGAGTTACATTTCCAATAAATTTTCCTTCTGCAGATGCAGTAACTTCCTCCCAGCATTTAGGTTAAATGCTGTGACCTCACATCTCTAGTGCAAAATGATTTTAAGTACTTTATCACTCATCTTGCTTCAAATTTTCACTTCCTCTTCGGAAAAACCATATTGACAAATCCTCACATTATCTGCCTTGGGAAACCAAGCTGCTTAGTCATTCTGTAACTGCCTCCTCCTCACAGAAAACTGTGTGTTATTGTTTGGGTCACTTTACCTTATTAAGGTTGAGAACACGAAAGAACTCCTTCTGATTCTGTTGGAAAACTCTGGCTCCTTCTTCCGATGTCATACAACTGTCACAAGCTAAGCAGTCGCTAAGGAGTATTTTAGCATTAGCCAATGTATCAAACTCATTTTTCTAGGGGGGAAAAAAAAGTAAACCAGTATTTAATAACAATCAAATGATTTTCAAGACCTCTGCAATGAGCCAGCTGAAGGGCAAACATGCTCTCACTGGTTTAAAAGAAGACAACCCATGGCATTTGTGTAACATCCAAGGGAACTTACAGGTAATCAAAATAATTTGTTCCATCCCTTCCATGACTCTGCTATTACTGTGAAACTGCAACATGTTTAAGTGCAAACAGAGATCTAAATTTAGCCCCTAGTCCACGTTCTAGTAACTTCATTTGCACTGCACTGCAGAGCTGACAGTCCCCATCAACTCACCAGACAACTGAGAAAACTTTTGCCTGAACTGTCAAACCTCTTTAAGCAGATGCCCCTCTAACAGCAAGATGGCTTGGGCTTTGTACCACGAGGTAAAACAGAACACAGTCCTACAACTGCATTGAACATATACTGTGAGATCAAGAGCATCATACATCTGCTACAACAGCCACTGGCAGCTCACTAAGAAAGAAACTTAGATATAAAGACATTTTGTGCCCTTTTACTATCAAAACTCCTCTCAAGTTCTGTGTCTGTTTTAAAGATTTTTGACACTCAAAATGGGCTTTTATTTCACCTTTTGAAAAGATTTTTCTTTCTCTACAAGAGCTCGAAATTGCTTACATCTGCTTGTTGATTATTGTTATGTTTAGGATTCGAAAGGTGTCTCCTTATAACCTCCCTTGGGGTATGCAACAACAAAAGAATACAAATAGAGCACATTACAGTTCGTAGAAGGAACATTACCTCTTCAAAGCCATCGTCTGAACTCAATGCATCAACAGATGTGCTTTGTGTATCATCATTTTTCTGTTTTTTACTGCATTCCTGAAACAAAACAGAAAATACAGGGATCATGCCAAGCCCATTCACCGTTCTGTGAGCACACCTTCGCAGAACTGTCTGTACCATTAACCACTAATGGTACGTTACTTTACAGCGTTCTGGCAGCGTTCCTTCTGCCCCTTCGCACGCAGGGCCTTGTGTTCCAAGTGCAATTGCTGCGATGGAACCATCCGTGGCCCCTCAGCTGTGGAGTTCTGGGCGGTCCGTGAGCACCGGGGGCTGCCCGGGGAGGCCGAGGAGGAGCGGAGCGGCTCCTGCCGCAGCCGCGGGGCTCCCGGGAGGTGCCGGCGCGGGGAGGACGCGGAGCGCGGTGACCTTGGGGCCGGCGGCCAGCGCCGCTCGCCCTCCCGGGGTAACCCCGGTCCGGGGAGTCCCCGCCGGCTGCGTCCCCCACCCCCGGGCGTGTGTCCCCCTCCCCAGCCGAGGGGTTCGGGCAGGACCGGGCCGCCGCACTCACCTTTTTGGTGCAGTTCTCGCACTTCATTTGCGGCGCGGCCGGCGCAGCCCGGCGCTGTAGCGGGTGCGGCGCGGTCCTGGCGGCCGGGGCTGCGGGACAGGAGAGAGCGAGGCGGGGGGTGAGACCCGCACGAGCAGCGCCAATGCAGCCCGGCTCCCCGTCCGGCCCGACCCGGCCCCGCCGCCCTTTGTTGCCGCGCCCGCCCCGCCGGGCGGTCCCGGGGCGGCCCCGCCGCTCACGTGCCCCGCAATGCCCCGCAATGCCCCCGCCCGCAGTGACCCCGCCAACGCCGCCGGCCCCCGCGCATGGGCGGTGCGGGGGCACCGAGCGGCCCCGGGGCAGGCGAGGGGCCGACACCGCTCGCCGAGCCCCCCGGGGAAGGGGCCCCCCGGGGGGGCGGGGGGGGGGGGCCCCCCCCCCCCCGCACCCCGGCCCTTCAGAGCCCCCCGCGCCGGGCTGGCGGCGGAGCGGGCGGGCGCGACCCGCAGCTCGACAGCTCCACGGGGAGAAAAGCAACAACCACCGAATACCCCCAAAAAAACCTCAGCGCAGCCCACCAGGCAGCCCCGGGCGCGGGGCCCGTGCCGTACCTGCCGCCGGGGCTGTGCCTGTGGCCGCAGAGCGGGCGGGGCGGCCCCGCCTCCGCCACCGCCCCCCCCGGCCCGGCCCCGGCCGCGCCCGCCGGGCTCATTGCGGACCTGCGCCGCCGCACGTACGCGAGGGAACCCCCGGCCCCGGCCCGATCCACATCCACAGCCCCAACCCCGGCCCGATCCACATCCACAGCCCCAACCCCGGCCCGATCCACATCCACAGCCCCATCCCCGGCCCGATCCACATCCACAGCCCCAGCCCGACCCACCCGCCTCCTGTGGTGCCCGGCGGGGCCCGAGGTTCCGCTGCTTTCCCGACACGTCCCCGCATAGTTTTTTTACAACGCGCTCCTCAGTTCTATCACACAAAGGGTTATTCTCGCCCTCCCCCCCCCTCCCGATTTCTGTTTTCTCATTTTAATTCTAAAATGAAACGACACCCTGCGAGTTGCTAAATACGGCACCATCACCATTTTATTTAACCGGGGTGCTGTGGTCTCGCATTTCCGTAACAAAACACAAGTGATGCTGTTCCCGGGCAGGAATTGCACACCCTTATGTCCAGCGTTATTAAACGGGCACATCAGCCTCCCACTGCCTCAGGGGCCCCAAAATATTAATTAAGGTGCTTGTGATTTCTTGTCTTTCTAAGCCTCGGGTTGTGGTCCTTTGACAGAAAGGTTCAATCCACATTTTGCTGCTCCTTTAGCCCCCGTGAACACGCGCACAGCACACGCCTACAGCTGCGCGGGGAAGTTTGTCTAGTGTAAAATGACATTTTAGAAATCAAACCGCAGAACTTCCAACGAAGGTGCAATTTCCTGCCTGAACTGCAACTTTCCTTTACCCAGTGCCCCCGGGAAATCCCCTCCTGTTACAGGGAGCTCTAAGGCGTTAATCCACACACAGGTTTTGAGCACAAGGGCCGGAGACAGGCACGGCCACAGAGGTTTGTCACCCAAGGACACAGCTCTAACTACTTCTTTCATTTCAAGGATACTAAACACAACCTCAGACAAGAATGTAAAAATAATGTGGGCTTTTTTTCTTTAATTTACAGACTACAGGCAAGTTGTCACTGAGGTAAAAGAAATCAAGAATTCCTTACCTTTACCATAATGAAAGCAAACAGCAACTTTCTTACTGCCCATTTAAAGAAAAATAAGCTGCTGATTATTTACATATACCCTGAAAAAAATCACTAATCCTAGCTTGAAGTAAGAACTGTAATAGCTTTGCTAATCATTTTCTGTGTCTCTCTCCTCTTCATTCAAAACACTCTCACATTTCACATTAGCATGTTAACCCAAGCTTTTTAAAAGCACCACAACCATTCCAGAGCAATCCCTATTCGACCTAAGAATTTGCATTTCCTTGCAGTTCCATGCTGGAATGCAGCATTATTTGACATCTTCTTTCCTGTTCCTTTGAATGAGTATCTTCATACTAAAAAGCTGTGCAAACCTCCCAGCTTATTCCACCTGGATACAACAGCCACAGTTGCATTGACCAATGTGGAAACAGCAGAGAAGAAAGTTCTAAATTAGGAATGTGTTGCTAAAATCCTTCTGTTTCACATTTTGATGATTATGCTTAAATTTATTATCCAAAATTGATATTGTGATTCTTCAAAAGACATGTCAGTTTTGAATGTTTCTGTGCAGATCATATTTAAAGTGGTTTTTATTTCACAGAATCACGGAATAGTTTGGGTTGGAAAGGATTTTTGAAGGTCATCTTGTTCCACCCCCTGCCATGAGCAGGGACACCTTCCACTAGCCCAGGTTACTCCAAGCCCTGTCCAACCTGGCTTTGGACACTTCCAGGGATGGGGATCTACAGCCTCTCTGGGCAACCAAGTTACTCATCTGTTACAGGACTGGTTGTGCTTCTGCACATCATCAAAAGGCAGTAGATTAAATTTCCCCCCATATTTCTTCATATTCACAATGAAAACCAGAGAACTGCATGGAAATTGAAACATTTGCAGAAATATTAAAGACATCTTAGGTACAAACCTTAAGTATCCCTATTTCATCCTCTGGCTTAAGAATACCTGGACTGAATTATTTTCAATTTAAGGATTCAAACAAAAAGAGCAAAAACTTATACAAACTGAAGAGTGTGCAAAGAATCTCTGTTTCAGTGCACAGTATAAGATCATAGTTGTGTAATCATTAGATAATTAGATGTCCCATGTATTTTATTGCCAAGAGCACCCTCTGCTCTCTGTTAGCTATGGATGCCATTTTCCCACAGGACACCAGATCCACGACCCATCATCACACCAGGCCTGACAACCTCAGACAACAGAGCACCATCCTGCTTTAAGGTGCCCTGGGGAGGTAACAGTTACCACCTTTGCAAAGCTACTTTCCAAAAACTTCACCTCCTAAAAGCTTTCCTATGTCAACAGTAGGGTAGCACTTAAAAGGCATTACTTGCTTTTAGGGCCACTCTTGATGTATTTGGCCTCCATCCCTCCACGTAACATTTATCCCTGCGCCTGAAACGTTTACACTCTGAATAAAATGGAGAAATAAGCATTCTCAGTGAAAACAAATTGTTGCAAGCAACTGAAGAAACTGTTACAGGCTGAACATTAGAACTGCAAGGCACTGCCAGCTCTAACTGCCTCCTCACCTCAGCGACAGCACAGGCCACCCCACAGCACTCAGAATTGGGCAATAAATCTTGGCTGCAGCTGGTAAACATGTATTCCATGAAATCAGTGCTCTGCAGGCTGCACACACACTGTTCCCACAGAGGTCAGGGGACACCAGGCAGAGCTCACTCCTTGGGATGAGCTCATTTCTACCGGGACTCACAGCCAATTCCATCCAGCCACAAAACAACCCCGGTCTGGGGGTGCTCCCAACCAACTGTTGAGGATCAGGCGCTCTGGGAATTTCTCCTGGCATGCTGATGAGATCACATGCTTATTGCACAGCTGAATTGCTAAGTTTAAGACCTTGGAAGAGGAAGAAAAAAAAAAAAAAAGAAGTATAAGGAGCTAGAAAAGAATATTTAGGAGAACGGTCTGAAATTAGGAAAAAGGACCAGAAATACAGTAGTGTCAAACTAATGCAAAATAAAGGCCAGTTCTGTTCTATCTGCACGTTCTTGGGTTTAGATCAGTGAATTAACAGTTACAAGTGTATTTACTCTACAAATTGCATTTCTATACTTCCAGAGAATCTATTTTTATATTATCAAGCAAGAAGTCTACAAACAGTCAACTACATATTCCTGAATGTTTATTTTGGCAAATAGTTTTTGCTTCTGCAGCAACACATTTTGGAATTCATGCTATTCTTTAAGTCCAAGATCAGGCTTTTAAAATGTGTTTCGTCTGCCTTTTTTTGTGTGGTAGGCATAACACCACTCACCTCCTTCAAAATGCTGGTGTAAACCCCCCAGATTTTAGAAAAAATGCTGTAAGAATCATTAACAGATAGCAGAAGCTTACAAGGATCTTTGCCATATTCCAGTTTTGAGTGTGTGTGTGGCATTTTCCATGGTTGAAATAATTTCTCTCTAACTTCACAATTAAATTAAGTCATATCAGGTTATCTGACCATGGCCTTTGCAGAACTGGAGAACTGCAGAACTGCAATATTTTTGCAGCTAGTAACAAGATTAAAACAAAGTGATATGTTGTGTGGTTTATGCTGAGTGCAGGGGACAGATGAATTTCTTACTTATTTCACTCTGCTCTAGACACAAGAAGTCTTTTGTCTTGTATCACTCAAAATGGCTTAATATTTGGTTTCCAGAGAAACCAGTTGCTCACAAAAACTGATTGACAACTGATTAGACATAAATTTATTCCCAGAAGACTCAGTCAGCTGCTTGTTTGGGTTGAGGACACGTGATACTTATTACTTCCTATTTTTCATCCAAATCCAGCAGCTGGTACCTCGTGACTCACAGGGAGGCCAATTCATTCTTGCAGCTCCTCAGTGCCTTTTCCCATTAACAGAATTACACAAAAATTGCAGATCAGTTGCTATCAGATGTCATCCAGGAAGGACATTCCTGTGCAACGGAGAGAGGATCAAATATCATTCATAGGCGAAGTTATACATTCACTTACATGACGGGAATTTAACAAGTTAAGCTGAACTACAGATGTCTGCACTTCACCCCTCCTGCCTGACATGAGCAGTTGCTGTAATGGATTGAACAGGAACAGTTTTTTCCATATGAATGATGTTTAGCTGAAACACAGAGGATTTTCCAAATCTAGCCTACTTGTCCTTGACAGGAAAGTCACTCAGTATTTCAAACGAACCAGAAACTTTCCTCTCCAAACAACAGATTTTCAAACCCAACACTTTAGCTGATACACAATTCACTGAAGTAATGACATCAGTGTTGAACTGTAAGATTATCACTGATATTTCTGCTTTGCAAATCCCCCTGAGTTTTTGAACAATGACATGAATTTTTTGAGGATTCTGTTTACAATTATAAAAGCTATACAAAACCACCTTGCATTCAATTATTATAACCATCATAGCTATCAAAGCTGAAAGCTAAGGCTTAAAAATACCAAGTATTACTAAACTTGGAATAAACCAACATATTGGCAACAGATACAATTTACTAGTAGAAAAAAGCAACAGCAGGAGCAAAACACTTCACAAGTATCAAGAGTTACATTTTGAAGACTGGGAAACTTAAAGAAGTTGGTTCAATGGGAATCCAGGTCCCATTGTGGGACTTCACTGAGACAACTTTGTGACACTGAGAAATCACTACAAACCTCACCCTCCTGCAGCCTCCTGTCTGTACACAGAGATAAGAAGTATTACCAGGTGTAAGAAGTATTACCAGGTGTAGAAAGAGTACAAGAAAGACAAGGAGCTACTGGAGAGGGTCCAGGGGAAGCCCCAGAGATGATGAGGGGTCTGGAGCATCTCTATGAGGAGAGACTGTGGGAGCTGGGCCTGGTAAGTCTGGAGAAGTCCAAGAAGGATCTCATTAATGCATATAAATATATCCAAGGGTTGCCAAGAGGATGGTGTCAGACTCTTTTCAGTGGTGCCAGTTACAGAACAAGGAGCAAGGGCCATAAACTAAGACACAAGAAGTTCCACCTCAATATAAGGACAACCTCTTTCCATGGAGGGTGGCAAAGGGAGGGCGTGGAACGGCTGCCCAGGGAGGGCGTGGAGTCTCCCTCTCTGGAGACATTCCAAACCCACCTGGACGTGCTTCTGTGTCACCTGCTCCAGGCGACCCTGTCTGGGCAGGGGGTTGGACTGGGCGATCCCCAGAGATCCCTTCCAACCCTGACTATTCTGTGATTCTGTGATGGCTGCAGCACAGTGCAAACACTCTGTGACAGTGGTGCCCCAAGTGCTGCCATTGCGAACCCAGAGGTGCCCCGACCTCCACAGGGACACCCCGAGCATGAGGACAGCCCGCAGGGGCTCTTCGCCCTCCCTGACCGCCTCACGCCGTGTCCACCTCACTCGGCGCGGGTCTATCAAACTGTGCCCAGCAAGGCTCTCCCGCACACCCAGCCGCACCCTACAGCACTGCACTCCTCTCATCCGCCAACGCACGAGCTTTCCCCTCGTTTTTAGCACCGCTAAGGTAATATAACCGCGGAAACATCGACACTCTTACTTCGGCCACAACCGCGGGCGCAGGCGCCATGTTGAGTACTGGCAGCGCGCCGCCATCTTGGCGCTGCCCTCGCCCTGCCGGGAGAGGCGGTTCGCGTGCCCGTCCTTTGCCCTCACCCAAAATGGCGGCGGGCGCGTCCGGCCCTCCCTGAGGCGGGTTCTGTGCGAGGGCGCGGGAGTCGCGGAGGCTGCGGGTCCCTCAGAGCGCGGCCGGAGCCGGGCAGGTACCGCGGGGTCGGGGGTGAGGGCAGGGGGAAGGGGGCCTCGGTTCGGGGTGCGTGGGGAAATAAAACCCGCGCGTTGGGTGGATTTGGGCAGCGCTGCTCCCTGTGTGGGGAGGGTCCCCCGTGCCGCCCCCACGCTGTGGGTGGGGGGAGCAGGTGCAGGAGTGGGAGGTAAAGAAAAAATGCGCTCTGTAAAGAAAATTCGCCTGATGTGTGGCCCTGACCTGATGGATATTGGCGGTGAAGGTTTCAAGATGCTCCTTTCAATGGCTTTTACTGGCTCGCCCTCAGCCGGGGGCTTGGAGGAAGCATATGAATGTTTATTTTGGTGCTGGAGATCGGTTTAATGGCAAACCCAACAAATTCAAGCAAAGTTGAGGGTTTGAAATTGAATTGAAACAGCAGCCCAAAACGACCTCTTTGTCTGTAATCGTAAAATTTTCCTAGTTAAACTTTTGTATTCGCTTAAAGCCACGTTTATGATTTATTTATTAAATGTAAATTTAAGAAGCTGCTTTGGTGCTTTTTATCCCACAAGGCCCCTCTCTTGCAAACAGCAACCTCTGAGAGACAATTCCATTGATGTTGAGTGTCCGACATTAAGCCAAGACTCATTTGCGTGGTTAATGAATGTGATTAATGGTTAATGACTTCGCTTAGTGAATATGGGGGGAGAGACCAAAGTTTGCATTAACACATTTAACTCATAGTTGTGTGAATTATAAGTAGGGTGTCATATTTGTGAAATACACCCAGATTTCTGCAGTGATCTCTGTGCATTTGATAACCTTTAGATATCTTTTAGGTTGCAGGCAGGAGAAGGCTCTGTAAGTGCAGAGATATTTTCCGGTACATTGAGAGCAACTCACAGGAGTCATTTGAAAATTAAAATTTAATGCTTGACATCCGGAGGAGATGGAGCGTGTCTTATGCATAAGTGGGTTTGGCTCTTTCGGTTTCAGATGCTCTTAGATGTGTTGCTAAGAGATTAAAATCAAAAGTCATAGGTGCTTTTTGTTTAACTGAAAGGGCTTGGCTAAACCCGCTCCCCTGGAGCTTTGTATCCAAAGTAGCAGAGAATTGCAGGAGTGTCATGTTGCATCCAAGGACAGCCAGGATAACTAAAGGACTGAAAATCACATACTTTTCTTTTGTAAGAACCTGGATGTGCTTGGGCCTGCTCTCTACATGTTTTTCATGGTTATTCAAAACCTGATGAATGCTGGCATTCTTCTGGAAACATGTTATCCTGGGCAGCTAAGGGCAGCTCAGTGCCAACCTCCTGGAACTGGTTCTGTGGGACAGGCTGCCCAGGGAAGTGCTGGAGTCACCATCCCTGGTGGGCATGGTGCTTAGGGACATGGTTTGGTGGTGGACTGGGCAGTGCTGTCTTAATGATTGGTCATCATGATCTTAAAGGTCTTTTCCAACCTAAATGACTCCCTGATTTTATTTTGTAAAGAGCAAAAACTTACTGAAAATGCTGCATGGGATTGCCCAGCTCTTACTGGTTTTTATTAATACCCACCTTTTTAATCTCTGCTATTAGTGTCTGCCTAGGCTGAAGGCAAGGTCTTGTTGAGGAAAGACAAACACACTTGTTGTTGGAAGCTCCTGCTTGTATTCTTCAGTTGGATTAGAAGATGGGAATGCCATCTGTGGCATTATGGGACACTGGCACTGCCTGGCTGTGGCTGTAACCCCTTCCTGCTGTGTCATCAGGGCTGAGAGACCCGATGTCAGAGGTGCAGGAGGCAGCACTGAGCTGCCCCAGCTCCCAGACTAGTCCTTCACACAGCCCTTTCAGCTGACAGGAAAAATGCTGTCCATTGCTCTTGTTTTATTTGTTTAAGGGCTGCATGAATTAGGAACAACGTTGTTCCTGGTTCTTGTTTTCCACACTTTTCTTCTGGAATCTGGTTGTGATAGAAAGGAAGAGACTCTTTCACTCAAAATGAGAAGCTTCTCCAAGAGTTCAGATTCCTGTTGATGTTATGCAACTCTCCAAGTAACAGTTTTTCTTTGTGGTTGTTTTAAGTATCCACGTTGCTCTTCCTGTGCAAAAACACTGTGTTCTTACCCTGGACATCTTATATAATCTAGATTAGGACTTGATAAATCCTGAAAAAGTGCTAGGAGGGGAGAGGAGTGGAGTCTTCAATGATTTAAAGTTCTTACTTTTTTGTTTGTTTGTTTGTTTGTTTTGTGCAGTGAGGTTTCATGAGTCACACTGGGCTGTTGGGAGTTTTTGAAGATGTACATGTTGGTTGAAAACCGCACGAGTTCCCTCCTTCATCTGAAGAGGTCACCTGGCATCCGGTCCTGGTCCCTCTGTGTTGGTAAGACCACAGTGTTCCTCTGTTTGTCTCAGAGCTTGCTTTAAGGGAAGAGGGTCATAGAGTAAATTCCTGAAAGAGCCCCTAACAAGAGGTGCCTGTCTTCCAGGCATTCTTCTTTCAAGAAGAGGAATGATCATGCTTTGAACTCTTCCTTTAGCACAGCCACTAAACGAGTCTGAAGTCTCCTCCTCAGCGTGGTGGTTTCACTGTGACACTGCTCGTTTTTCAGCCTGTCATCTGCAGAACCTCAGGAGCTCCTGAACAGAATTTCAAGGGAGTCCTGAAAGAGCAAGAACAGAAAATCAGATGCCATATAGGCATATAAATGGGAAGCTTCTGAAGGGGCTGCATCCTTAGGTTGAAAAACATATGTTTTCAGAAATGGAAAACTGCAGTGTGGCCGTGCTGGGGTTGGATCTCGTGTGTGGTTGGTGGTGAACTCTTAACACTGCTGTGTATGAAATGGGAAGTCATACAGGATGTTCTGAAAGGCATCTTTATAAACACTAATATACAGAAAAAATAAACTACTTAGGGCTGTACTGAGAGAGCTGGTGGGGAAAATGTGACATATCCTGCTTTCCAGCTGAGTGACACCACGAGGTTGTCATTGCTTTCAGTGATGTTGAGCCAAGATCTTTGCAGTTGCAGCCTCTGGGGCACGAGGGACTCTTCAGCTGCTTCCCCCTCCCTGGGAGAAAGGAGCTGGCAGCTTCTGACACAACTTCATTGCAGAAGTTTTCTTTTGGCTCCACGGGGCACTTAAAGGGACAAATAACGGTTGCAGTGTTTGTGTCAGCAGGCTCCAAGTTGTGCTGTGCTGAGAGGAAGTGTGGTGTAATGGTTACACTGAGTCCCTCTGAGGTTCTGTTCCCAGTTGTGTCACAGCATTTTTATTTCTGACCTCGGCCCATGCGCTTTTAGTGCCTTTGCAGAATGCAAGATTTTTTATTCTGGGTTTGGAGAAAAAAAATAACTGACTTTCACACAGTGATTCATGTTGCAATCACATTTGTCCTTTTTTTGAAAAGTGATGTTTTTCATCAGGGAATTTTAGATTTTTTTGTTGTTCTAATTCTCCCCTCTTTCCTCCTAGGCATAGCCTCCATAGGTCTGGCTGCTGCTTATTACAGTGCAGGTAATGGCCTATCATTTTTTTTTGAGGATTGTTTCTTTCCTGTTAATCTGTTTTTCATGCTGATGACTCCTGTGCAGCTTCTGTCAGTGCAGCTTCTGTCAGGCCTTACACAGGCAGTGGAGGTACCTGTTCCACTTTGTGACACGAATATTAAACCCAATAATAATTGTTGCCTGTATGACTTACTTTGCTTTAATGCTCTATTTCTTACTCAGCCTCCCTTTCCATTTGCAAGAGTATTTTTAATAATGCTATTTAGTCCTGTGTGTGATTTGTAAATGTGATTAGCTGGTCCTCACAGCTCTCCTGGGAAGACACAGAGTGATTATTTGCCCCCATAATGAAATGATTCCTTTGCCTTTGACTGAAGTGCTCTGTTTCTCTGGAAACTGTCAGATCATCACTGGCAGAGATTACTCAGACACCTTCAGAGATCAGACAGCTCCTGCTGCTTCCCCCTCTGCAGTAGAGCAGACTGCACCAAATGCCAGCTCTCCTTCCATCTCTGGGATTTATCCTGGAAGCTGCCCTGTCATTCTCCTGCTGCATCCTGTTAACATCCAATTTTAAAACTTAATGGTGTGTAGGAATATGCTGCCAATGTAATCCATGTATTGTTAATGAAAGAGCAAAATACAGTGAAAGCTGCTTAAGCCACCAGCTAAACCAGCCTTGTTTATTTTAAGACATTGCAACAAAGTTTTGTGAAACAATCCTGAGCACAGTTCTACTCTAAAAACCTGAGTAAGCAAATTGCTCAGGCTGCTGTATGTAAACATTTCCAGGACGTAAAATGCAAATGTTTGTTTGTCAGGAGGGCCAACTGCTTCCTTTTATGCAGAAACATGTTTGCTTCCGTGAATTTTCATTGTCCCTTACCCTTGTCCTCTGCAGCACAAATATTTGGGGGTTGACAGCGGGTTGGCAGTTTTGTGGATGCCTTTTAAGATGCCTTTGCTTTTAGAGAAGAGAAAGATGCAATGTTACAACCTTGTCAGTAATAACATATGCTTATAATTCTATGTGGTTTGAAGCCCAGTGTGAATGAAGTCTCTGAAAAAATGTGAAGAATTTCTCTATTTTCATCCTGAGAGCTGTAAAACAGCTTGTAGTACAACTAAAGGCAAAAATGTTCCATCTGAGAACCCTTTTTTTCCTTTTATTGCCTTTAAAGGGAGCATGCTGCTTTTAGAACTGTCTGAATAACAAAGAAGGGGGAAAAAAAGCTAAATTTGTGTATTTTTTGCATTGTTCAGACAGCTTGGCATGGAAGCTCTTCTATATGGCTGGGTGCTTCTTTGTGGCAGCACAGAACCTGGAGCAGTGGGAGGTAAGATGCTGAACTCAGGAAATGAGGTGGTGTGAGTGA